AAACGTCAGGCGAATAAACGTATTGTCCCAGCGATCGAGTCTTCTTCTTTTCAGATTCCATACTGCAGAGGTCAGAGTGACTTCATGCTTCAGCTGACTGATGAAAAGGTCAATCGCATACGTCTAGGTTTAACATTGCGTCGGTCACCGGGCCCAAGCACACAACCAGATGGTAGGCAGGTTCAGAGCAGACTGGTGGATGGGAGCGGCAAAACAAAGTCGACTTTGGAGGCTCTATCTCCACAGCTATATCATCGCATTCCTCCCTATAAACAATCTGACGCATGATTAAGCTATCATAGTGCTCTAACAGTTATTGCTTGGAAGGATGAAAACTACCGGTATAGGTCAGTCTCCCTCTCAGGATGGAGAGTCAGACTCGATGACCCCTTCTGAATGTGTCCTTTATGGCACTTCTAATCCGATGGAATCCGAGCCACCCCCTCGTTCCGGAAAAATCCGCTCAGCTTACATGGGACGAGGTCTTATGGGTCACGCGTGGACAGACTGTTTGCCTTTATCGGCCACAACGCCGAAGGCAGCCTCAGGTCGTCCTGACGGTACGCAATACTTTTATGGTAGTCTAAACAGAACGGCCCCGTCAACCTCAAGTATTTGACCTTGCCATAAATACCAGAAGGGTTAAATATTTCGGTGTCTTAACCCCCCAAATTAAACTTAATTCCATCCTTGATCTTAATGAGAACTCTACCGTAAATCTTTCGGTTAACACGAAGCAAAACCTTAGCTCATAGCCTAATTGTGACCCTAATCCGAACTCTGACATTAACCACGCAGCTAAGCCTACATTTTCCGGAATTTGGTGCAAAATCGCATGGATTGCGAGCAGTTCCTGTACCCGTGTCCTGCTTAGGCGGACCATACAAGTCATCCTTCCCGTCCTGGTGCAGTCGCGCCACCGCAACGAAGTGGGTGTGTGTAAAGAGAGCGTGTCACAGGTGCTGCGCATGTCTGCTATCATCCTAAATTACGAAGCCACGGTCCTGCGCACAGCAAACTCTGGGGCAAACGACGGGCATTATTGTCCGCAATGGTCAACCTGTCGTTTAATCACGCTTAATGCTCACTTTGTTTCCCGGTTAAGGATTGGATAAGGCTTTTAAGACATGTAATTGTGCCCTTTTATAGTGTCGTCAATTGTTAGTTCCTGATCTCATTTTAAAACCAAATTCGCAACACACATCGCAGAGACCTGCCACGACTTCGAGTAGCGACCATCATAGGCTGAGGAACCTTAAAAGCCGAAAGGCTGACGCTTGAGGCATGTTACTCAGATGCCAAGTCTGTCAACAAGCATCTGGACCTGTTCGCGGCCTACAAAGTCTTGCGCCATTATGTGGGCAAAGGACGGAACAAAGCCGAACCGAGCGTAAGAATGGCAAGCGAAGAGGACCCCACAACGAACTGGGCGAGAGGAGGCAGGGTTACCAGGACCCGCTATCAAGGGGACAAGGCGCTACACTAATTGCTGTTCATGACCCTCGACCCCAGTGACAGCTAATTAACGTCCACCACTATAATTGCCTACCTCCATCCTTCTTGACTGCTGTTTCTAACCTCTTGACAACCTGCTGACTTCTGACAGATGACTGGCCTATGTCCACTATAATTACCCTCCTTTTGGTTGCTACTTCTCAGCTCTGAAGATAGACTCCTGTAAGAGTTCTAAGGCTCAGGACAATAAACTAATTGATCCGGTGCTCGACACGGCTTCTTCCTTGTCCATTCATTTTAAAACACTTTTAGCAATTGTAGTTAGCACTTTTAAGTTTTCTGAGCCACAACGCGACGCCCCCCCCCCTACCTAACGAACGTATAACAACTCTTCTGAAAAATCTTCCTCTAGAGTAAAACTATCCACACAATTGTTGTAACAACATCTTCATGGCAGCACCAGCAGTGTATACGTCTGGGGAGTAATAAGAATCAATATGTGTGTTAGCTAGTAACCCGATAAATCTTTTTTTTCCATGATGCAGTCATAATCTGTGATGTCTTCAGCCTTTCTGGATGAACCAAATCGTTAATTGAAGGAAACGCGTCTGTGCAGTCGCGAAATTGTGTCAGGCTTTTGACAGATACGAATGAGTTGTACTTTTTCGGTAGAACGCCTAGATCTACCTTTGGCAGTCCCAAGCTACAAAAAATGACGCTACACGTGAAACTAGCAAACCATCTGAAAAACTAGCACTATTGGCTTCGCTTGACTTTATATTGTGAAAGCAGCTTATCACCATGTTTGTTTCTTTCCGAAAAGGTCTTTAAGCCTCTAGTATTTTGCTAAAAAGCAGTTAGAGAAATCAGAATACGGGACCGCGCAGACCACCAAAGTGCACATCTCTGTCGGACAAGAAAAAAGACATGATGGCTTTGTATTACCAAACTTCTTGAAAAAAAATATCGTCGGTAAATGACGGTCGACGGAGTCTGTGAGCCAAAAATTAATAAATGAGGTCGTGGCATAAAAAGACGCAAGTACACAAGGGCACTTGCAATCCAAACAGAATTTAACCATAAGAGCAGTACGATGTCGGTGTAAAAATTAATTGAGCGTGTTAAAATACCCAAAGGAATGTATAGAAAGTCAACTTCAAAGGTCAAGCGACTTTGTGTTCTGAGAGGGGATTGTGCGTAAACTCGTAGTCCAGGTGCACAAACGCCCGATCCACGTTCTCCATGCTCTCCAACTTCTTCTGAAGGGTCTCACCAATGTCGTGAGCCTGATGTAGATCCATGTCCTTGGGTAAAACAATGTCCACCTAAGAGGTGACAGAAGAAGAGGAAAAATGGCAAATGATGAGGCAGCTGCTAGACCTAGTCTGCAATTTTGACTTGTTAAAAAATTCCGATTGTGCGGAACATGATTAGATGACTTATTTACAGAGCTCACACGCGTCGTTGCTTCAATAGCGCAAGCAGAACGCGCGCTTAGAATTCGGGAGGTTCGATCGAGCCTCCTTCAACAAACTTTTTTTGCGGTGGCCGCTGCACTACGGAGAAGAAAACCAGAACTCTGTAAGCAGCTGGATCATGTGATCAACCTCACATTGCCGTGCTAATGATCAATAAACTTATTCCCTCTCGCACCTAGCTCCCCTTAGGACTGACTGCTACTCCGTCCTCTGCCTCTCTCCCCCCCCCGCTCTCTAACCATGTCTCACAGGCTTTCGTGCACATGAACTGCCTTCCTGTGACAACTACAGTAGGTGACATATCTGATGAAAGGTTTAGGAGTGGGGGATTTA